AAGGGTTAACTTTTATGTTGTTTTTATTTGCCTTCTGTATATTGTGTGTGTGTGTGTGTGTGTGTGTGTGTATACACACACACACACACACACACACAAACATACACAGAGCTATATATCAGAGATAAAGGTATAAACAAACTTGGGGAGATGCTACAGTTTGGGAAAGGAGATTTGCTTTATTAAAAAAAAAAAATCAATACAACTTCCCCACAGATCCATGATGTAAAATTCTATAATCAAGGCTTGTAGATTTGTAATTATGGTATGTCAGCTACATTTAAACAAGAGTGTTAAAAGATTGTTAAAGTTAAACTAACACAATTGCAGTGTGAATTGTCCTAGTCTCATTCTAATCTACTGGTGTCACTTTCATTTAATCAGAGAGAAACTATGGGCCAAAGTCAGTGCTATTTCCAATGCTTTAACATTCTTTGTTCACACTGGATTTTAAGCCAATACCAATCTAAAATGGTTACAAAGAGATATATTTAAGAAAGTATTTTAAGTTAGTTAATTCACTCACCAGTGGCTAGTTTAGCAGGTTTTATTGAAAATAAATTGCCTTTAAAGTTATTAAATATCCCTTTATGTTAAATGAATAAAAACATTCCTTTGCTAAAGAATTTCTTGAATTTATCATAACTCTGGTTAAAATCAAACAAACACTTTCAAACATAAATTTTAGTTGGAAACTTATTGTGGACATATTATTTAGCTGAGACCATATATTTTCTGGTATGGATTTATATTTACAGAATGCATTAAAATTTTAGTTTAAGTAAAGTACAACATTCAATTCACAGTTGTAGTATCAGCAAATAGTCTCAAATAACACAGAAAACAGTGCTATGTTAGCTAGTTATAGAAGAGGTATAAATACTAATCATTCTAGTTTGCTTGAAACTTTCCCAGACTTAGCACTGAAGCTTCCATATCTCAGAAACCCTTCAGGCCCAGGTAAACCATGGTACTGATGCCACCTAGACATTAAAAAAGATGGGGGAGAATTTGACAGTTTTACACTGGAGAAAAAAATTGGAATATTTGATAACTTACTGCTAGGGCTGCCAGATTAGCTATGATCCCGTCACAATATTATTACGTCCAGCAATCTTTCTGGAACGTGGATCCAAATATTTATAAAGAGCCTGTCAAACCCAAACTTACCAACTAATACCCTCTGAACAGTAAGTCACATGTGAACAAAGGCTGCTGCTTGAAGAAACTTAGTACAATTACCCGCCCAGCCCAAAGTACACACATTTCTCCAGCTTCATAGCCAGAATTAGTCCTGAAAAACAAACAAACAAACAAACAAAACCAATACTGTTGCTGGGAAGGGGATATGTAAGGAGTCTAGGAGTCAAAGGCTCAGAACCAAGTCAGCCTCGTTGCTGTCCAATTCTCATTTTATAAACCATCCCTAGTAACTGTACTTTTTCCTTGTTCCTAGGAATCTAATCTCTCTTAACATCCATTTTCAAAAATCAGATATTCTGGCTTTGTCACCATGCAAGGTAACAAAGTTTCTCTAAGATTAGGTCCCTGAGGCTTCTCTCTATTTTCCTAGGGCCTTTAATAATGGCCCTGAAACCTATTTCTCTTTTCATTTCTAAAATGGCTGCCATCCACTAATTGCCTTCACTACTTTGCCAACTTGCTAAACACCCACTCATTGTTTCGGTTCCCTGATGTCCATCACCATCTATTTATTGTCTTGTTTCCACATTCCTGTAATATTCCATCTGCCTGCCCAGATTTCTTCCTGAGGCCGCCCACTAAATGACGCTTTTGGATAACCTGAAGGACTCTAGGGGAATTGATTAAATACTTAAAATTCCAAGGATGCGCCCTCCCTATTATAGTCTAATCAAACTGAACTCTAGGACCAATACATAGAATATATTTCTAGTGGCTCTCAATTCCCGGGAAGAAAACTGAAGGAATTAAGGATGTGAGGACTTTAAATCTCTTCTTCCAAATAAAATTGTGACTTCTAAAGAGAAACAAGGCTATGGGAAATGAACATCTAACTAGAAAAAAAGGAGATGAGAACAGAAATTGGTTTTTAGACCTTTGCTTTAAGAAACCAGTGTTTACAAAACCAGGAATATGTCTGAATCATGAAACTAATCAAGAAATCTTTTAAACTAAATTTGGAGAGAGGAGAAGAATGAATACCTTTAAAAACCTTTTTATTATGAAAAAATATTTAAACATATATATATATAATATAATGAAGCCCCGTGATCATTCAGCCCCAGCAATCATTGATATGTTGCTCTATCTCCCTCATCTATTTTTTTCTTTGCTGAGGTACAATGGAAAATTTTAAAAATAAGATACTAAGTCAGAAGATAGAGTTATACTTAACTTTCAGAGAAATATAACGAGAGAAGGAAAGTAAGAAACAATATTTACAGTATTAGATGGTTATCTACCAAAGCATAATATGTGTAATAAATAGATAAAATAGAAACTTTAGGATTAAAAACACACACACATCTAATTTTACTACATATGGGGAACTCCACTCCAAAATGTCAATAAAAAAGCCATGAAAAGCCGAAACCGGTTTGGCTCAGTGGTAGAGCGTCGGTCTGCGGACTGAAAGGTCCCAGGTTCGATTCCAGTCAGGAGCATGTACGTTGGTTGCGGGCACATCTCCGGTAGGGGGTGTGTAAGAGGCAGCTGGTCGGTGTTTCTCTCTCACTGACGTTTCTAGCTCTCTATCTCTCTCCCTTCCTCTCTGTAAAAAATCAATAAAGTATTTTTTTTTAAAAGCCATGAAAAAATGTATGTAGACATATTCATTAATTTATAAGCAATTTAATATATAGTAAATTATGCAGGTTTCACAAAAATTATTTTATTTAATGTGATGAAGTATGAAGAATCAAAATTAAAACTTGATAATGCACTATTATTGAAATAAGATTAAAATAAAACTTTATCTCCAAGCAGTTTCCATAGTACTTGGGAATGTTTGAAAGCCTAAAAACTTAAGCTTCTTATAGGAATTATCTAAATGAGTTTGTTTTCTCCAGAATATGTACTGTAAGCATATAATACTTGAACTGAGTAATTTCATAAAGTAGTATAGATTATTAGAATGAGAAATGAAAAAATCATAGATAATTAATGGGAACCTACCACTAGAAGTCATTCATGACTTTATATCTAAAGCACTTTCCATTATACCCTGGTGCTTCCACTAAATAGATTTATTAAAAATGACATAATCAAAGTAAGTCTAACAAAAGTGAACAATAGAATGCTGGGGTGAGTGATGGTGCAAATTATTTATATTTTTAATTATATATCTCAACTGTAATTGAAAAAAATTCTTTAAATACACATATATAGATATATGTTGATATATATACATATATATATATATATATATATATATATATATATAGTCTCAATTCCCTTCCTATTATCACACATTAAAAACAACAACAACAACAACAAAAAAACGCTTTTGCCGAAACTGGTTTGGCTCAGTGGATAGAGCGTCAGCCTGCGGACTGAAGGGTCCAGGTTCAATTCCGGTCAAGGCATGTACCTTGGTTGCGGGCACATCCCCAGTAGGGATGTGCAGGAGGCAACTGGTCGATGTTTCTCTCTCATTGATGTTTCTAGCTCTCTATCCTTCTCCCTTCCTCTCTGTAAAAAATAAATAAAAAATATTTTTAAAAAATACTCTTTTGAAGTGTTGTATTTAAAGCAGAAAGCTGTAGATCGGAAACCTTTGCTCTGCCACTAACTGAACTGTGATCTTAGACAACTTTGGCTTTCCTCTTTTAACTTCATTACACCTCAGTTCCTCATCTGTATAGCGGGAATACAAACAATATTAACACTTACACCAGCCCCTGGCTACTTGCCCCACACTACATTACAGAGTATGCACAGCAGGCACTTCTTGCAACAACCGCAGGAGGTGGGTACTTTCTCCCATTTTTACAAACGAAGGCACCGAGGCGCCTGAGGCACGGTGCCAAGTTTCTGTGGTCAACAACACGAAACAAGTGGCAGAATGAAGCAAGATCTGACCCCACGGTCTCCCCTCCGAAGAGGCTGAGCGCTGAACCACACCATCTCGATGGCTTCGTAAGGGACGTGTCCAGGAGGGTCCAGGGTCCTGCTGTGCTATCTCAGCCCGAGGGCAACAGCTCTAGAAGTGGATTTCCCCCCTCCCCTCTGCCTTGTCTTACTTCCGGTGGGGGGAAAGAACCAACCGTTAAAAAGGGAGCAAAGAGGAAAAAGCCAGCTGACTGGGATGAGACGTTTCTACCACCTGCTTCTTCCTAAGCCTGTCTACCTGCCTCTCAAACAGTCTGACCTTCGTGGGTCGGAACAATCCAGTCCTGATGAGCACGGAGGAGTCTTAACAGCTGCCAGGGAAGAGAGGAAAAGCACCGGGCATTTACTTAACCAGCACTCCACAACCTCCAGGGGGGGAAAGCGGGGTGTCCGAGCGCAGGAACTCCGAGTGGGGAGCTCAGGTTCCCGCCCCTGTCCTCCCAGCCTGCGAGGCCGCCGCCACGTCCATCTCCCGGCGTCCCCAAGGCCCCATTTTTTATCAGGGCCGGGCTCTCGGCGGCCCCCAAACTTCAGACCGGGCTCGCGGGCCCCCGCCCCGCGGTCCGCCTCCCGCGGCCGGTGGGCGTGGAGCGCGGCGCGCGGGGGCGGTGCCACCCAAGCCGGCCCGGCCTCCCGCCCGCCGCCCCGCCCCGCCCCGCCCCGCCCGCCGACGCCCGAGGGCCGGGCGGCCGCCGACCCTCACCGTTCAACGTGGGGAAACCGAGGGCCGGGGTAACGGGAGGGGCGTGCCCGGACCGCGGGCTCCGGCCCCGGCGCGCCCCGTCCCGCCCCGCCCTGGCCCAGCCCGGCGGGCCCGCCGCCCGCGGAGCAGGGGAGGCCCGGCCTCCCGCGCCCGCCTGAGGCCTGCGCGCCGCCCGGCCTCCCGGGCCGCCCCTTCGGCTCCTTACCGCTTCACCACGCCGGTCTTGATCTTGATCTGTCTCACGCGAGGATCGGCCATGGTCCCTCGGGCGCGCGGGAAGGAGGGGCGGAGAGTCGGGGTAACCGTGCGGCGAGCGCGCGCGGAGGAGGCGGTCGCGTCGGCGGAGTCGCCACGGCCCCGCGCGCATGCGCGAGCCCGGGCGCCGGCCCGCGCCCCTGCCCCGCCCGGAGGGGGTGGGAGGGGGACCCGGATCCGACAGGATCGGACCGGCCGCTCTGCGCCCGCTGGGCCCCGCAGCCACTCAGTCCTCCCCCCAGAGGAGCCTGCCTCCGTCCCTCCCCACAGCACCCCTTCTAGGGCCCTTCCCTCATTTCAGCGTGGACACTTTTCCCGGGCCTCTCAGCCTGGGTGTGCTGGGAAACTTGAGGATCTCCCGAGATTACCCACCTAATGGGCAGAGTGATCTAAAAAGTCTTATTAAAGATATTTTCGGTATCAAACAGGTCAAGGCAATGTACCATCACGCACGCAGTCAAGAAAATGCTTGCCCTCCACCCCAGACCCCTGCAAAATGTGTTTGTAAATAAGGGCCTCATAGAGGAAGTGACTCTAGGACTTATTCAAGTAATCATCACCGAGGGTGTGTCTTAAATATTTAACTTAGGAAAATGTGTGTGGCTCACAAAAGCATGGGCCTGGGGGTCAAACCAACGGACATTCGGGTTCCACCGGATGACGTCGGGCTCAGGAGCTACTTACCCTCCCTCTGGAGCCTGTTGCCTTGTAGGCAAAGCGGAAACAATGCCCATTTCACAGAGTGGAGAGGAAGATTAAAGCTCAATGCCTGGCACACTATAGACGCTCAATAACTTCTCATTGTTTTATATTGAAAAAAAAAAGTATCTGTTGCATAAAATGAGGTGCCCCTCTGCATCAGCCTCCTTCTGATGGAGTTGCCCAAGGAAAGTGGGGCATCCACCTAGTGTCTTTTCCCTTCCCTACACTTGGTTTACTCATTCTGGCTCTCAGAGCTAGCTCTGGAAACATCTTTCCACCATGCCAGTCCAATAACCTTAGCATATTTTTTTAAATATATATTTTTTTAATTTCAGAGAGGAAGGGAGAAAGAGAGAAACACCAATGATGAGAGAGAATCATGGATCAGCTGCCTCCTGTGAGAGAGTGAGAATGTTGGAGCATGCTTCCAGAGAGGCCGTGGACTGTGCCCCAGATAGAGTTACCAGTGCTGACACCAGGCCAGGCCTTGAGATACGGTCTCATGGCCCCTTCCCAGCACGTAGGCCTTCTTTCAAGGGCAGAGCAGGACTGACTCCGTTTTGTACTGTGTCTTCCATCTTGTATAAAATGTATCAATTACCCAACCCATCCTTAAATCAGCCAATAGAAATACAGAGGGAAGTAACCCAGCGTAACCGGACTCTGGCCCTCACCCCATCAATCAGAACCAGCCAACTCAGTGGTCCAAGCATCACTATTCTAGGAACAAGTAGGGGTCATACAGATGATGGTACGACACACTCAGTATAGGCTTCTATCAACGGAAAAAGAGATGGGGGTGCCAACCGACCCATGATTGGGCCTGTAAGTCTCATGACAAGGAGGAAATGATAGAGCGAAACTAAATTGATTCCATGAAGTTCTTTTTGTTACCTTTATAATGCTTCCTTCTATAATGTTTTTTTTGTTCTGTACCTGCTATTCTGCAACTCCTCCTGCTGTCCTTCCCTGTAAACCGCGAGAATGTAATAATTACACAAACCTGCCAATAGGAGTGCAGGGAAGTGGACTCAGTCCAAATTAGGCAAACTGCACAGCGCCCCTGCGTGACCAGACTTCTGATCCTGCCCCCTGACCAATCAACGGACCCCCTATAAAAAGCCCCTTCCTCCCAAGGCTCGCTCTCTCTCGCCATTGCACTGGTGATTGCTAGAGACGGGAGCCCATGCTAGCATGGAATAAAACTTTTGTTTTTTACATCGGACTCGGCTCCCTGGTGGTCTTGCGGATCTTGAAATCTGGGCATAGCACCTCCTGCACACCTCCTACCAGGAACCAAGCCTAAAACCTGGGCATGTGCCCTGATAGGAATCTAACAGTGACCTCCTTGTTCATAGGTCCACGCTCAACCACTGAGCCACGTCAGCCGGGCTAACACCCTTATTTTAAATCCAAGATCAAATCCCACCTCCTGGAGAAAATCTACCACGACAGACCTCCCTGCTTGTTCACTGCTTCCCTCCCCACCCCATCTCACCCCCATACTTTGGAATCACCCAATATCAATTTTCATTTTTTCTTTTAAAAACTATTGAGTCCTTTACAAATGTGTGCTCACTCTCCTAGTTGGATTATAAGTTTATTTAAAGGCAAGAATCTTGTCTTCCATAAATCTCCCTCCTCTAATCTATACCTGTGTTCTGTACGCAGCAGGAGTTAAACTCTGTAACTATTGCCCACATCATCCAAAATTATAAATACAGTTGTTTTCCCCCTACACTTATAAGACTATCATCTCAGTTTCATCATTCCTTCATGCCAATCTTCCCCAATTGACTGCAAGCTCCTCAGGACTAGAGACCACATTATATTAATCTTTGTCTCCCCAGCACCAAGCTTCAGATATGCCTTAGTGCCTAGTAGGTGCACAGTATGTATTTGCTGAGTTAAAGAAAAGTCAAATATGGCACTGAGATAGATTTCTAATTTTGGTGAAAACAAAAGACTGGTCATGCTTTTACCCTCCTAGGTAGACAGCAAGCTACAAGACTTATTTGGGGGCCAATGTGCAACTGCTCTGATGGCCAATTGGAAAAGACACCCCTGGAGAGATTAGTTAAATAAAGAAGTACTATTGATAAGAGTATATTTTTGCGAAGTGTCTCTGCTAATTACCTCTAGGTGCTTGAAAGACTTGAAATATTTCATTCATCATTAGGAAGTATACCTCTTCTGAAGAGATTCAGAGGATCCCCTTCCTTTCCTGCCACTTGTACATCTTTTCAAATTCTCTTGGCCTTCCCTCTTACTGGAGCCACCACAGTGTCAGCCAATCAAACTCAGGCTTTGATCAACATTGAATGAGCCCCCTCAGGGCCATGAGTACCACCTGGGCTATGAGACCCACTGAGACAGAAGATAGGCGTGGGAAACTGCTCAGTACACATGTATGCCCAACCCAATAGTGCCGGGAGATGGAAGCCTGTGGATCAACGTTCCACCCTTTCATTCTCCAGGCAGCAGGCAGTTTTGAGACACATTTCATAAGGCTCTTCGGATGGTCTCATGGAATCAAGCATCAATCATCTGTAGCAAATGTGAACTCAGTAATCCACCCTTGCATCTGCTTTTCTTCTTTCCCTGTTTCATTTGTCCATTTCTGACTTCTGGCCTCCAGAATCACTTTTCAAATAAGTGGAATAGTTCATATTTTGCATTGGAGAATACTGAGATGACGCATTAATCAAGTGATTCAGAAGACTGCTAGCTTTGAGTGGGGCACAGAGCAAGAATGGGCTCTGCATCAGAACTAGGCTGCAGTGCAAGCTTCCCTGCTATTCAGGCCATCTGACCAAGTAGGCCCAATGATGCTGATATATCTGCTAATAGGGATGCTGTGTGTGGTCTCTGGTGAATCCTAAGAGAAGAGCATTATGCAGGCATGCCTACTGTGACATAGAAGTCAGTATTAATTTTTTTACCATAATAATTTATCACTGTTTAAAGTCTCCCTCATACTCTATTTATAAATTATTAGTGACATCTAAGGAAGATACTATTAACTGGCTTACCCAACAGTAATTCTCCAAACCCTCTTCCATACCTGATTCCATTGCATGGTTTACTTTCTCAACCTCTCTTGCAGCTAGAAGTGACCAGGTGCACAATTCTGGGCAAATAAATACAGGTAGAAATATGTAGGTGGTTGCTAAAAATGCTTTGAATTTCTTGATAAAAGGGACAAATATAGGGAATGCCCCTTCCCCCCTTCTTTCATGAAAGTAGATGAAATAACTGGAGTAAAACATCCATCTTTATTCGTGAGGGGAAAACAAACATTTCAGAGTGACGTCATTGAGCTGCTGAACCAAAACCAGCAGCTGTCTATCTTGAGTCATCTTACCTGAGAAAAACAACTCCTTAGGCATTTAAGCTATTGTTTATGAGACTTCTATTATTAGCAGCCCAACGGGCTTTCTCTTTAGATTCCATTAGTGCCCCATGAGTATTTCTCTTCACTGAGGGGAGGGGAAGATATAGCCATTGGATCTTTGGAAGAAAAATTCCTATGAAAACAAAAATATCTCCAACTGTGGCTTTCATAATATGCTGTGTTCTCATTGTCTGAGGGTATTAAACATGCAACTTAAATGGCCACAGGCCACAGAGTAAGGATGTTGGACAGCTGCATGTTTTAGATAACCGGAATTCTATACAGGTAAGGAGAGAATACAGTCCTTTTGCCAGTGGCTTACAGATGGTCCTATTTACAGCTGAACTGGTATCTGATATAACAATTCATTGTTCTGACACATATTGCAATCATCATGTGTGGTTTTTAATGCATCATGTTACATTAGCTCAGCCCAGAACCATGTAACATAAATTTTGCCTAAAGGAATGACAGTACATGACACTGACTTTTAAAGGACACACACTATTTTTTCAGATCACATACCTTTTATCCATGAGTACCCAATTCAAAAATCAAATTGGCAGACAAAAGTGGAGTGGATGTGTAGCCTCAAAGTAGCATATTTATCTTGAATAGTTTTGCACATTTCTACCTGTAGTCAATGATTCCATTCCATTTTTATGTTGAAATGCATGAGCAACATTAATGGGCCTTTTTTTTTTTTTTTTTTTTTTTTTTTGGTCACCTGAAGTAAGACTTTCATTCAGGGTCAATCAAGAGAATCCTGAGAAGTGTTTTGGGATTACAAGCTATGGATAAAATATTTTCATGTGTTTATCATGAGCCATCGATGACTGTTCTATTTAAAATTCCCAGCAAATATTTATGATTGCTTTATTTTTATCCTATCTATAATTATTTCTTTCAGGAAGATATCTTTCTTAGATGTGAAATATTTTCTGTTGTCATTACATATTCTTTTTTGGTATTAATTGGAAACACAACAAAAAAGATAAGGATTTTTTGCCAAGACCAGTTTGACTCAAT